AATTGGGGGGGGGGGGGGAAGAATAAAGCGATTACGTACAATGCACTGTTATATTCTGAATAATTTAAATGCCGCATATCGAAGATATTTTCTGTCATATAACGAGGAATGCTAAAAATCGAAATGAGAATCCCAAAGAAGCAATTATTTTGAGTCTTGAATTATGATGATCAGGCTTAATTATCTCTAATGCATAGTGATAACTTCAATGACATATTTTACGAATTAATTGAAATTCAAATGGAACAATTGGTAAAATTGATTATTCACTTATCTCCTCGTCCCGTAAATGTGTTTATGGCCTATGCACATGATGTGTTACATTCATATCCGTAGAAATGGATTAAACAATGTCAATCCATCGTTAGTTTGACGCGGACAAACAGTATCAGTGAACCGTATTATAGAAAGAATAATACAGAACATTGTGTGATGGACTTGCTTCTTATGCCAAACTTTTCTTTTAATTTCCTCGTAATTTCTCAAGTTTTTTTTTTCTATAAGTGTAACGCGAATAATTGTAATCGTCAATAATTGCAGGTCTCGTAAATGCGTTTTTATGACGCTAATGGATTAAACTTATATCTTAAAATTTTTTAAATTTTATCACTGCCAATTTATAAACTGATCAACACATAGGTTATTCACAATTTTCTTTTCTCTGTAACTTCTGTCCTGACTATATTTTTTTTTTCATATTTACTAGTGCAAGTATAGGATTACATCAAAGTCCTTACTGCTGCCATATCAGATATCAAGACCACAAGGATAATTAATTTAACGACACCATGGTGGGATATCGCTATCAAACATTTACCGGAATGCAGTTTCTGGGATGGATTTTGGCCCGTCTGTGTGGGGAGCATCGTCGCTCCTGGGATGACGTTCTGCTAGCAATTGAAGTGGCCGTCACAGTGGATCCTATGAGGATTTGCCAGTTGCCATCTACAGCCGACGTAGGCATCCAGTGCAATATGACGACCTCGGTTAAGCATTGTGGTACACAAACAGATCCAGTTTCGATGATCAGCCAGGGAACGCAAACGACGCCAGAGAACAAAGGTCCTAATGAAGACCTATAAAAAATGTAAGTAAAATCGGTTAAGACATCATCATTAGTCCCAAATTTGGGATTCTAAAGGCTATAAAACTTAGAGTGACCGCAGTCGGTAATAATGACGTCACGCATCTAAGATGTCTGTACAGTCTGGGAATGCATCGATCATAACATAGCTATTCTAACTTTTTACAGGCATTGGAAGCCGAACATTTATTCATCAAGATATTTCGAATGTGCGTGGACACTTATACAAAGTCACTCAAGAAAAACGCACCATCTGAACAGTTAAATCAAATGAACAAACTAAGTTCAGATGGTGCGTCTTGTCTTGAATAACCCTGTAGTGTAGTAGGTCCACGTTATCTGGACATCGTACCAACTCAGCTTCTTTTAAGGAACTGGCAGGTGGTCCCTGAGTGATAAAGGAACTTTGTTGTTAAGCTTTTTCGGAAGGTTAGATAAGTTCTCAATTTTACGAAGATCCACTTCACTCGATACTTTATTTATTGTATTCTACTTGTTACTTTCCTACATGAGTATACTACTATCTGGTCCTTTTAATTCTGTTTTTCTTTAGTACTGCTATAGGATATATGCTAATTTATTTAAGAAATTAATTGATACATTATAGATGGTTTAGGACTTCTCTGACTTGTCTGTCTCTTTATTGATAAATAATTTTCTTTTTCTTTAATTAGCAGTAAAAATGGCTTTTTCTATCTGGCTGCTAATTTATATGCGCCTATTTTGGTTGAGTACTAAAGATATTTAGTATAGCTGTTATTTTTAGATAATATATATATAGTTTGCTTTTCTTAAAGTTTTCGTGTAAATTCTTCTCAGTTTATAATAGATTTATTTGAATTTTTGTTACTATTATACACAAACTTTAATTAATATTTTTGTTTTATATAATGGCACTCTCTTGTGAAAGTGTTTCATTTTCTATTACCCAAGCAAACTACATGACATTCTTGTTCAGTTTTGCAATATTGATGGATTTTTCATACCGTTATTAAATTAAGGATCGATACGCCATTCATTTCTTTCGTGTGCTTCTGATCCTGAGCTAAACTGAACTACTTTTATTTTTCCATATTTGCACATTTCGGGCAAACCATTGAGCGCTTCAATTTATGTAATCGAACTTTTATAATTTTTGTTTGAATAAAATTATCTTTTTATCTCTGTTCAACGTATGTCCAATTTTTTTAAAAATTGACGTTGATTTTTTTCTTTTAACTTTCATTCGGCGTTACTTTACTTATATAATTTTCTTGTTCTTTTTTCTCTGCCTTTTTTATTTCACTCAACCGCTAAACGCGTTTCAGTGGCATCCAATATATGTAACTGTCGTAGAATAATATTGTGCTTTCATTTCTCTTAATAAAAAAATACTTATTTTTAATAATACTTATAACAGTAGATTCTTCGCATTCCCTTGCTATCTTGGTTTAGTACACGTAAAACGTATGCCGCGTAACATTTTGAGGAATGAATCTTCATAACTAAAATATCTGTCAAACATTTATTAAACATGAGATATTTATTATTGCGTTTACACGTAATCTTAATCCAGAGCTTCCTTATCGTAGTGATTTTAAAGTTAAAAAAAAGGATCTTCAATCAACGAGTGTCGCCCTATAAGGTCGTAAGGACAAGTATACATAAACAAAACTAAATGTATGTACAATGTTATACTGCACGTGGATCTGAGCCGACAAGTTTCGGATAAAGATAGGTTAGGTTAGGTGGTACCGTTGATGCTAGAAGCAGCCCATCCAGAGGTATATCTCTCGAAGCTTCGAAACAAAGTAAAGGTGAAGGCTTACTCAAAGGTATAAAGTGAAGGTTTAAGGTAGAGGTGCAGGTAGTGCTTGCCGTTTTCAAAGTTTCGTCCAAGTAGTCGAAGTAAAACAGCGTGAGAATGTTTCCAAGTTTAAACGCGCTAAGTACACCATAGTCGTTCTCCTGCGTTTCGCTTTGTACCACGTTGAAATTTCATCTACCTTAACTAAAAGTAATAGGAAACTCACGTTGAAGTGGCATCGAGATGCTCCCCTCTATCTCTGTCATATATCGCCTTTCCATAACATCACGTTGTATATCGCTCATGCGCCGATTATTAACGTGGATTAATATTCATCTCTAAATTCTCAATTGCATTTCAAGAAACTCGTTACTCTTGCTACCCTGGTATAAGTTCTCTGTAATAACATATTATGCACTAATTTCTTTGACTTGTGACATCAATAGCAGTGTTGACGAGGAAGAATTCGGCATAGATGGAAATATTAAAAAAATAAATATCGAAATTTATATGCTACTAACGTAAGATCAGTATGACGCATTAGACAGTAAATTTCGTTTTCGATAATTTATTTTCTCTTCGGGAGCTACGTGTATTTTTATCGACGTACGAAATTAGTGTTTCGTTTACTAGTGAAACAAAGTCAAAGCAATTAGGCAAGGGTGAGTCGTGACACGCAAAAAGACACGGTAACTAGTATCATCGAGGAGCTATTTTGCAATGGCGGCACGAGCCGTCGGTAGTGAAGTCAAACATTTAGGTTCGCGGTATCGTGAATATGCGAGGACCGTGCTGCTGGCTGAATAATGCATGGCGCATAGACTGAAACCAATGGAGGATTAAAGCGACATGGCAGGGCTAAGAGGCAACGGCGGAGGGCAATGCCGACCGCTGAATCAGGTATCGTATCTGAACACGTGATGCGTTATCGTGTCGATCCACCTCGGGTATTGCCGGAGACTTTCGACCGCCCACGCTGTATCGTGTGAAATCTCAGCTTTATGCTTTGTGTTCTGCCGTACGAATCTCTTTTACTTTCCCGCTCGGTTTATTTTGGACTTTTCCACTGCCTGCTCTTTTCGGGACCTGATACACTTTATGCTAATAGGCTTGGGCTGTTATAACGCGGTATACCACTTTGAACTCTCTGATAAGATATTGTACGCGAGAACTTGGAGATTTGTAGTTAGTTGATTTGACAGAGGGATGGATAAAGGTTGTTGACTAATTTGAAAGGAATGTATTACAATGGCGATAGTCGTGATACGAATTAGGTATGCTAATTCTGACGGCATTTTCTGTACTTCAGGAATGGCTGTCGTATGGCTGCAATATAGATAGGGGACACTGTGTTTCCGTGAAAAATGAAATTTTTTCCTCTCTAGACAACAATATTTCTGCGCAGATATTGCATTTCAGGCTATTTTATAGCTATAAAAAGGTGTACGTATTTTAGATGAAGGGAGTTACCATTTTCTCAATTTCAGTCAAGTACGACCCATAGGGAAGCCATGGCATAACATACTGCAGTTGCGGTACAATGATCATAGTTAATCTTTTCAATGATATGAAATATATTAATATAAATTGATGGTAGTAGATATAAAATAAGAATTTTGAGTTTTTGGACTATTTAATTTCAAAATTTACAAACTTACTTTTACGTGTGCAATATATGCGACACGGTGGTTACCAAAGGGAGGTCGAACAACGCTGTGCAATAAAGACTCCTGGGTACCACTGGCAAAGATTATTTTTTGCGCCGGCTAAATATATCTTTGTAGGAAAAAGAAACAAAGTAGAAAATGCAGGGAGGAAAAGACTGGAGAAGCGGCGCGGAGATTACTGGAGACTGCGTGAAGTAGAAGGGAAAATGGGAGAACGGTGGAGTGAAATAAAGGGAAAAAGTTAAGCGCGTAAGTACGGGAGAAAAACATGGGAGGACGTTTCGAGTGTGTGACGTCGAAGCCGACACTGCGCAATATACTTTTTACCTCGAACCTTTTTGAAGGTTATCCTTTGACGCGCGTAACACGCCGACTACGAATATTTGTAATTAGCGTCAGGCACGCTCAAAAGATGTCTCGTTAACTCGAAAGCCGCGCCTGCAAAATAACACACGAAAGTCCGTGCCGTACGTATCAGCGGCATTTCATTCTTTTTTTTTTAAATAACAAATCCGTTTTTTGCATCTTGCGTTACAAGAATTATGAATCGTTCCGAGGTATAAAAATTCATCTAGGGAAGTAAAAAAATTAGTTTGGATACGACATATAGGGAACTTTTTATTGTTACGTTTCAAGTTATAATTTATATTAACTTAAGTCGGAACTAATCTCGCTGATCGATTATATTTATTAAATCATCAAGTTTTTATTTGCGGACCCAGAGTATTTATGACTTGGTAACATTTCGTATAATGACTTTGTAATTTATGGTTATGCCATGAAATCTGAAATCTTGAGCTAATAAAACTCTTTTAACGCTCTTCTCACAGAATACCTTTGATAAGTATACAAAAAATGCTATGAATTCAAATAACCAGTAGGGACGATATAATAGAACGGATACTCGAACGAGGTATCGCCACTTGAAAATATGACCTGCAATAAAGATTATACGATCGGGTTTCAGGGTGGACTACGCAGTCATGTAGAAGGTGCACCGAAGGGGTGCAACGGCGCTGGGCGTGCGAGGAAGACTACACCACAGACAAGCAATATTGAGGCAATATTGCAGGAATATATAAGGGCGTCTATGTAACAACGTCTAGGAACGACGCCGATACCGCAAACTGTTTCTATAACTCAGCCTGCCGAGATAGCTGCCACGTTAGCTTCCGCTATTTTCTGCGAGAATTTCCCAGCCTTCGCCTCCACGCCGACGTCTTTGCGCGTGAAATCCTCCACTGTTTTTGCCAGTAGTGTCTGTTACCTTTTATCTTTTTTTTTAACTGTTCGCCTTTTATTCATGCATACGTATTCAGGTATTTCTTTCTGTTTTTATTTTCTATCCTATTCTTTTCTATGCGTTCACCCATACCGATGCATCGTCGGCTTAAAAGATGCTGTGCAATTTTCATTCGGTCCAGCCATCAGCACCGTCATTGCTTGCGGTGCAGCCAACCCTCTTTTCATGGCTTTCTTATATCGACTGTATAATATTGTCGTCTGCTCGGTAAATAGAGTATCTAGCGTGGGTACGACTGGAATTTATTTGACAACTATACTGCAGTCTGGTACTGCGTGCCATTCTGGATCCTCTCGACATGATGCTCAGATTGTTAGCCAAGCCAGAGGGCGATGGAAAAATCCTATCATAAAATTTGATTTACATGAAGAGTTCTGAAAGAATATTTAAGAGAGAAAGCGTACACGTTTGTATGTTCGTTTATCGTTATGAAAGACGAGCACTGAATAATTCGTAGAGGAATTAGAGTACAGTATATATATAAATACACATTTGCCGAGTGTCTAAGAGACGTAAAAAAAATATCAAGCGTACGTAATCAAAAAGGCATTTAGCGAATATACTTAAAAAAAAAAAAAAACGATTACGTTTCGCAATGACGAATTTTCTTTCAAATATCATAGCTTCGTATGCGATGATTCGGTAGGGAGAATTGGAAACATGGAATCCAATGAGAAGAAAATGAGGTGGATAAGCGCAGATCCGTGAAGCAGGGAACAGTGCGAGGGAAGAAAAAAAAGGGAAGAAAAAATATAAAAAGGAGGAAAAGGGGAAAGAATGAAGGAAAAACGAGAAAAAGCAATTTAGCCCGGTTTTGTCCGAAGCCAGAGAAATTCTTCGTGGAGTCCCGGGAACAGAATTCGTTTCGCGAGAAGACTTGCCAAGGGGTGGCTCACGGCAACCCCTTTCGCGTGCATGCGTATTTATTCGGCCTGAGGAATTACAAGGGAGGCATCGAGAAAGTCGTCGCCCTTAATGAAGCTGCGAGACATCGGGATTGTCGTTCTTTTCTTCCTTCCACGAGAGTGAGAGAGTCTTTTGTGGTGGGAGAGGAAGAAGATGTGGAAGGTGGGGGTTGGGTGGACGTGCGAATGGATAAGGGTTGGCAGGGGGTGAAATGGAAAACGTGAGAGAAAAACCCATTGAGATTGCCGCTTCTCTATGGGGTGGTTATGGGCCGAGAGAGAATTGTCTGACTAAGGAAGTCCTGGACTAAAACAACCCCCGAGCTTCCTGGAGTTTCTTGACAACCCCCTATGGATAATTTCACCAGATATACTATACGGGATTCCTTGTCGAAATAGTATTACGAGATTAACTTGATTCTCGAGTCGGTAATAAATAAATGAACTTTTCATGAGATTGTTGCCCCTTGCTGGGAGATGCAGGTGCAGTTTCAGT